TAACATTTATGATCAGGCCCATTGTAGACTGAAACTGACAAACTGCCCCAAAGTGCAAAGAAAAGCAAAGGTCACCATAAACAGATCACTTAAAGAACTACACTCCATTTAAGCAATGTGCTTTTGTTCCATCCTCTATAAAATGGAAATAAGTAAGTACACTTGAATCAATCAGGCTCAAAATATGCCTAGAGCTTTGTAGTGAGCAGTAAGAATGACATTAGTATCCTATCTCTTTAGATGCAAGCAAATACCTCCATCTACTATGGCACCTTATTTGTTAGCCAATTCCCTCATATATGCTACAAACGTAATCTGACAATCAAATCAACTGTAAAAAGAAGGAAATCCCACACCAAATTCTATCATGGTAATAAAAATGCTATTTTTAAAATGATGAAATACACAAATCAACAATTTGTAGAGAGAATTAAGAATAGCAAGGGGATGGAAGACAGGTACCAGTGGCTCACACCGGGAATTCAAGCAATTCAGGAAGCTGAGATCTTTAGATTCCAGGTTGAAAGCCAGCCCAGGCAAAAAAGTTTGTGAGACTCATTTCCAATAAAATGAAGAAGAAAAAGGAGAATAAGAAGGAGAAAGAGAGAGGAGAGAGGAGGAGGAGGAGGAGGAGGAGGAGGAGGAGGAGGAGGAGGAAGAGAGGAGAGGGAAGAGGAGGAGGAAGAGGAGGAAGAAAAGGAGGAAGAAAGAAGTAGTGGAGCTAAGGCTCAACTGATAATGCTAGATGAAGAGAGGGGGAGGGAGAGGGAGAGGGGAAAGGAAGAGAGAGAGAGAGAGAGATCACCTGAGGATCACAGCAGAAACAGAACTTTAAGTATGAACCCAGGGACAGTACCCAGACCCACAGTGCAAATCCAATGAAGAAAGGAGGGAAGGGGAAGAGAAGGAAGGGGGAAGAAGATGATGATTTGGGAACTGGGCCTCGGGTGGCTAATGCCTATAATCCTAGCTAATCAGGAGGAGATTTGAGGATCAAGGTTCAAAACTAGACCAGGCAAGAAATTTGATGAGACTCTCATCTCCAATCAATTAACAACCAAAAAAATTCAATGAATCTGTGGCGTCATTAGAGGTAGAGCACTCATCTTGGGCAAAAAAGCTCAGAGACAGAACACAGGTCAAGTTTAAGCCTTAGTACTGGCACAAATTATTATTGTTGTTGTTGTTGTCTGAGCAAGGGAATGTAGCTCTCTTACAATGATTACCTTTAGGCTCAAGCAGGTTCAAGGTCCAAAACAAAGAACCCCATAATCTGAATAACAGATTTGTACTAATGTACTAGTACTGAAGGAATCCTATGATGAAACACAACATGAATTTTTTTTTTTTGGTCCGGTTGTGGGGCCTGAACTCTAGGCCTGGGCGCTGTCCCTCAGCTCTTCAGCTCAAGGCTAGCGCTCTACCACTTGAGCCACAGCGCCACTTCCGGTTTTTTTCTTTTTTGCTTATGTGGTGCTGAGGAATCGAACCCAGGGTCTCATGCATGCAAGGCAAGCGCTCTACCACTGAGCCACCTTCCCAGCCCCACACCATGATATTTTAACTATTCTCTGCTTCATCTATTGGAAATAATCTTTCTTGTCCACATGAAGAATTTCTGCTTATCTTCCTCAAAATTAACCCACATGCTATCTCCTGTAGTTTTTCCCAAATTTCCCAGGCAAAACTCTCTTCCAAGAATCGAAAGCACGGAGTTGACACTGACATAAAACAGCCCTCACACTGCATTACAGGAAGTTCCACAAGCAGGTCCCCTCCATTTATTTGGACTCACTGACTAGCAAAGTCATGGCACTAAAGCACACAAATATTTGATTAACTGAACCATTCTACATTTTTAGGACTGGGAAGGACCAAGGAAATCAAGATTTCTTTCCAGATGCAACAGTGACACTCAAAGACTTACTTAATCAAGGAATAGAGAAAGTGGCTGTGACAGGTTTCTTTTCCCAATAATATTTATAAGAACTGGACTATGTGTGATTCACTATTCCTATTTGGTTTACTCAGCATGGAACTGGAGTACACAGTAATTCATCAAATGTTTCCTTTATTAAACACTATAAATGACAACTAATTAATGTTGAGAATCCAGACAAAAGTTAAAACTTTACATTAATCATGTATCAATTTCCAATTGCAAGAAAAAAAAATCTAAGAAATAAGAAACATGATTCTGTAAGATACTATATTAGGAAAGTTGTATACGTCAAAGATTTATTCTTGTTATCTCCTATTTATATATTCAAAGTGAAATCTATGAATGAGATATTAACACTCACAGCATACCAATACCACCAAAAATTTATACGGTGGAAACTACATCAAACACTAGGTTCATATTTTGAGGAAGTTCAAGTTTAGTAGGCCAAAGCCACACACACCACTATTTGCTGCCTTGCTGCCATGACAGAGAGGTCCTAAGGAGCATGACTGACTACTTGTGGGCGTAAAATCCACGTAAAGTACTTGGATATCATCAGTGAGGAAACCAGTGAGACAGGGTCAGTCCGCAATGAACAAATGTCAGAAGAAACAAGCACCAGCCTTTCCAGCTGTTAGGATTAGTGGAAGACAGAAAGAATGCTTCCAGGAAATCCCTAAGCAAGTTCCTAGAATTCTCTGGCAACCACTGCAAACAAGGGCCATACGGCCACGAAAGACAAGGAAACCACTGCGGACCCCGTAGAATATGTTTACTGAAGGGGAAAAGCCCGTGGGGCCGGACGAACACAGCCAAGCACAAAGGTGAAAATGCAACATTTGGGCGGGTCCCAGCGCCACCACCTCGCAGACTCAGGCGCTCCGTTCGCCCCCAACCTGGCCATTCGCTCAGACCTGACACAGGCTCCCAGGTGGCCGATTCCACTTAAGAGGCCTTCATAGACACCCAGAACCTCCTGGCTCAGCCACCCCCCTTCAGAGAAGCCGCCTGATCAATCGCCGCAGCCAGGAGCCGCCGCCCACCCGGGCCCGGATCAACCAGCTTGCGGCCTTCTTCGTTCCGACTCCTACCCTGCAGGCCAACCAGGGTGGTTCTAGCCCCGATCAGGCTGCGGGCCCCCTATACTCAGTCCGCGGGTCTTTGGGCCGGTGGGAAAAAGCAAAGACTGCGAGAAGGGTCGGCCTGGAGCCCACCACCCCCACATCACTCACCATGGCGACTCCACTGAGCCAGCAGCCAGCAGCACCGAACGCCGCGTAGAGCCTCCCCCGGTCAGGTGACGCTGCGGCCCTTCCAAGCCCCGCCCCTCCTAGGCCCGCCTCCACGCTCTGCACGTGATTCGTGGATTGGACCGTTTCTAGGAATCCAAATCTCGCGTGTTTATTGGCTCTTGCCCCTTCACGCTAGGCTGACGGGCCGAGCCGCCAGTTAGTCTATTCATAGAATGTGGGTGTGAGCCGGAGGGATGCAGGGCCGCGATTGGTATTCTTCTGCCGAGCAGAAAGGCTGAGAAAATGGTGTTTAGCGAGTTTGTTATGAAGGAAGGAATAAAAAGAGAAGCTGTCTACAAGGTTCACGGTATTCACCCAGGATACCGCATGGGCTCATGCGCGTGCGCATAGGAAAGACTACGCTTGGTGTAAGGGACAGCCTCTTTGTCGCGTTTCAACCAATCTAATTGCGCCAGGGGTTGGCCCTGACGCTCACTGGCCAGCGCTGCTTCCGCGTTGGGTTGCGTCCCACGGTAACTGTGCGCGGGAGTCGTTTTGGTTGGCGCCATGGGATCGGGACTGATCCCGTGCTTAGCCCCGCGCCTCGGACTTTCGGAACCTGAGGTGCTGAGGTGAGTCCGGGTGTTCTCGCTGAGATAGAGACCCATGCCTTACGGTCCGGATCCTTCTCAGGAGTCCTTCCCGCGCCACTGGTGGTGCTGAACAAGGAGCGCCGGGATGAGGGAAACTTGGGGCCTACTTCGAGAAAAAAACTCCCCTGTGATCCTCAAATCGCAGCCTCCTGAGTAGCTAGGATTCCAGGCGTGAGCCACGGAACCCTGGCTGAGGGGCTTGGTTTTTGGAGGTACTGAACTTACTTTTGCCAGAAAGCACGCTGTTAGGTATATGGATGTCTGGTGTCAGAGTTGTGGTCCTGTCTTTGAGGATTTCCTCTCCCCAAAGAATATGAGTTACTTTCCCAGCCCCAAATAAACTTGCACAGTAATTGGTTCCAGGATGAAGTCCACCAATGTTTACCTAGGTCAGACAAAGACAAACTTTTGAAACAGTTTTAGTGAATGCATTGCCCTTATAAACCAGGAAAGCAGAAGAGTACCTGCGACTATCCCAGGTGAAATGTATCAGTCTGTCTGCACATACTACAGAAACCAGCAATGCAGTCATGTGCCTAGACCTTGCAGCTTCCTATATGAAGTACCCCTTGGACAGGGTAAGTACATCCCATTTAGTGTCCAAATAATCTTATGCAACACTAAAGCTTAACAATTGTATTTTAATTTTTAGTTGGACAAGACTTGGTCAAAACTCTTAGTTTTTAAGCTTTTCCTATATGCCGTAAGTTATTCTAAATAAATTTCAGAGTCATCCAGTTAGGGAAAAAATGCAGTGTGTTTATTTAGTTACTCTGATTCTCTCTTTCTTAATGAAGCTCATCTTTCATGCTGCTATTATATACTTTTGTGGGGAGGATGAAGGGTATCAGTACTGGGGCTTGAATTAGTTTTTTCCACTCAAGGCTTATTCTACCACTTTACCCTCAGTTCCACTTCAGCTTTTTGCTGGTTAGTTGGAGATGAGAGTCTCATGGACTTTCCTGCCTGGGCTGGCGTTGAACTATAGTCCTCAAATCTGAGCCTCCCAAGTAGCTATGGAGCTGCTAGCATGATCAGCCCCTGGTTATAGCATTATACTTCTAAAGCACATATTTTAAAAATGTGTGCATATTTTTAGTTTTTGTTTTTTGTCAGTTGTGAGGCTTGAACTCAGGCCCTGGGCACTGTCCCTGCTCAAGGCTCATGCTCTACCACTTTGAGCTACAGCTCCACTTCCGGTTTTTGAGTGGTTAATTGAAGAAGAGTCTCTTGGGGACTTTTCTGCCTGAGCTGGCTTCAAACCTCAGTCCTCAGATCTCAGCCTCCTGAGCAGCTAGGATTACAGGTGTTAGTCATCAGCACCAAGTTTTCATGTTTCTTTTATCCTGGTTGCAAAATAGTTGAGAAAAACTGCTTTGGAGTTAGGAAGTTTCACGTGTTGAGAAACCAATTCTTACCACCATTGATAGCTCTATGAGCCTTTGATCTATGAAATGGACATGAGAATATCCATTTCATATACTATATATAACACAGCACAGTATTTTTGTCATAATGAATATACTCTTAAATGGTCTGAATGGTTTTTTTCTTGAAAAAAATTCTCTCTTCAACTCTGACTTCAAACTATGATGCTTGGTCAACACATTTCTGTACTTCAATAACTTATGGCTTTGCTAATTAATAACTTCCCATTCTTTTCCTAGAATGTTCTGCAAGTTGTCTTACATCATCCTTCATATCCATTGATTTTGAAGCTTTCTATTTTAACTCTTCTAGTTAGGATTCATTTCCTACATGGTGGATCCTTATGTTTGTCTCCTTGATTAATCCTCCTCTCCCTTTGCTATCTCTACTTCACCCTCACTTTATTCCCATTACCTCCCTCGTTGTTTTCTCAATAATTTTCACATTGACACTGCTGAAAAACAAGTAATCATATGTGTATCTTTCCTATTGTTTTTATTCTAACAGCTTGAACATGTTAATACTAAAATTATCTTTGTATACATATACCTGTCTCTAAAGAATGAGCTCCTAGAAAGTAAAAATCTTCTTGATATGATTACTGATTTTTTTTACTGATTTTTTTTTGGGGGGGGGAGTTGTTGTTGGTTTGTTTTTGCCAGTCCTGGGGCTTGAACTCACAGGGCCTGGACACTGTCCCTGAGCCTCTCTGTGCTCAAGGCTAGTACTCTACCACTTGAGAACAGCACCACTTTCAGCCTTTTTCTGTTTATGTGGTACTGAGGAATTGAACCCATGGCTTCATGCATTCTACACAAGCACTCTACCACTAAGCCACATTCCCAGACTAGGTTTTTTTCTTAAATGAAGCTAAGCCTTTGTGTATAGAGTCATTTGTCACAGAATTAATTTTGAATACCTGATGCTACTTACTCTATTCTATATAATATATAGAACTTATATGTGCCTTTTCTTTCAAAGGCTTATTTAATTAAACTTTCTGGTTTGAACAAGAAGATGTACCAGAGCTATCTTAAATCTTTTGAGTGTTTACTGGGCCTGAACTCAAATATTGGAATAAGAGACCTCAGTGTACAGTTTAGCTGTACAGAAGCAGTGAACATGGCTTCAAAGATTCTACAAAGGTATGAGCATACTGAAACTTAAAACAAAGCCCATATTGATAAATAAGCACAACTACCCAGTGATCAATTCTGAGGAACTTCCATTAATCCTTGCTATTTGGGAGGATTATGTTTCTAGACCATCCCAGGCAAAAAATTGGAGAGACTCCATCTCAACAGAAAAAGCTGGTCATTTATATCCCATTTATAACAGGAAATATGAATGGGCACATTTTAAACCAAGGTTGGAAGTGACAAAAAGACTTATGTCATAAACATTGTTAGTTCTGTTTTGTATTTTCAGCCACGTTTGAAATGTTTTCTTACAAATAATTTTCCAAACACTAATCTGCTCTAGCTATGAAGCCAGTCTTCCCCAGACACAGCAAGTAGATCTTGACTTATCCAGGCCTCTGTTCACCACTGCTGCACTACTTTCAGCATGCAAGTAAGTTCTCAATTTTTAAGTGGCTCTTTCATTCTCAAAGAACACTGCCAATTTAGTTGATTTCAACACAGAGCATATTTTGCCTTACAGATAACACAAGGAATAGTAGCCAAGTGGCCAGATTCTCTGTTTATCCCACAGTGTAGCTGACAGTTGGAACTAGTGTTGCCAGAAATTCATTTGCTAAGTGGCAGGCCATATATGTAAGCTGGGTTTCTAATTTCAAAGTTTGCTTTTCATGAGTGATAAAGTCTCTCAGAACTGTGGTCATATGTGATTTTTAATTTTTTTTTTTTTTTTTTTGTCGTTTGTGGGGCTTGAACTCTGGGCCTGGGCGCTGTCCCTCAGCTCTTCAGCTCAAGGCTAGCACTCTACCACTTGAGCTACAGCGCCACTTCCGGTTTTCTGGTGGTTTATTGGAGATAGGAGTCTCACGGTCTCTCCTGCCCGGGCTGGCTTTAAACCGCGATCCTCAGATCTCAGCCTCCTGAGTAGCTAGGATTACAGGCGTGAGCCACCAGCGCCCAGCTTTAATTTTTTTTTTTTTTTAGTCAGTCGTGGGGCTTGAACTCTGGGCCTGGGGCACTGTCCCTCAGCTCTTCAGCTCAAGGCTAGTGTTCTACTGACTTGAGTCAGATCACCACTTCTGGTTTTCTGGTGTTAATTGGAGATAAGAGTCTCACAGATTTTCCTGCCCAGGCTAGCTTTGAACCACAATCCTCAAATCTTGGCCTCCTGAGTAGCTAAGATTACAGGCATGAGCCACTGGCACCCAGCGATTTTTAATTATTTTTTAAATAATTACAATTGGGGCTGGGAAGGTGGCTCAGTGGTAGAGCGCTTGCCTTGCATGCATGAGGCCCTGGGTTCGATTCCTCAGCACCACATAAGCAGGGGGAAGAAAGCCAGAAGTGGCATTGTGGCTCAAGTGGTAGAGTGCTAGCCTTGAGCTGAAGAGCTGAGGGACAGCGCCCAGGCCCAGAGTTCAGGCCCACGACTGGACCCCACCCAAAAAAAAAATTAAATAATTACAACTGCTCTTGAGTTTATCAACCATTCTGTAATATCTGTGTCTATGCTGAGTTATTGTCCTGGAAATGTTAGTAATCGTTGATAGGTTTGCCTAAGTTGTCTTGTTTAATTTTGCCAGATACCTTCCTGGGGGTTGGAGAATATACTTGGTTATTTTAAGAATAGGTTTCTCACTACCTATCTGCTAATTTAAGGATGTTTTGGTTCTGCTAGCTACAAACCTAGGAGTGATTGTCATTTATAGAAAATGTCCCTTTAGGGGCTAGGAAGATGGCTCAGTGGCAGAGTGCTTGCCTTACATGCATGAAGCCCTGGGTTCCATTCTTTAACACCACATAAGCAGAAAAAGCCAGAAGTGGAACTATGGCTCAAGTGGTAGAGCACTAGCCTTGAGCTGAAGAGCTGAGGGACAGCGCCCAGGTCCAGAGTTTAGGCCCCATGACTGACAAAAAAAGAAAAAAGAAAATGTCCCTTTAGGGCTGGGAATGTGGCTTAGTTGTAGAATGCTTGCCTAAGCACACATGAAGCCCTGGGTTCAGTTGCTCAATACCACATAAACAGAAAAGGCCAAAAGTGGCGCTGTGGCTCAAGTGGTAGAGTGCTACCCTTGAGCAAAAGAAACTCAAGGACAGTGCCTAGACCCTCAGGTTCAAGCCCCAGGACTGGAGAAAAAAAAATCCCTTGAATTCAATGAAGATACATACATATAGTTAATGTGGCTGTTACTACAGAAATCAGTGAAAATAGTTTAAATAGCCCCACTTTTGAAACTATAGTACACCAAGCAAGAAAGGTCTGAACATATCTATTATCCTGAATGAGAAATCTCTTTTTTTTTTTTATTAGTAGTTGCTGTAGAGGATTATTAGTGGGAGGGGTAAGAGGTTGTTATTCTCCTATAATATAAATACAAGCATCATGTATTAAGTTGTTTTAAAAATACTATGATTTTCATTCTACAAATTACATCAGAAGTTTATTAAGTAGTTGAGGAGGCATGAAGCTCCAATAGGGATGAGGAACTTTTATGCTCCAAGGACCATGTGGATAATTATAACATCATTCACAGGCCATACAAAATAATTAATACAGGCAGGCAGCCACAGGCCACCGACAAGAAACATATGTCTATCTTGTCATTTACTGAATGATTGGGGGTTGGGGGGCAGGGTGTGTGAACAATAGGCCAAACATTCCCCACCCCTGCTACAGCAAATATCTATGTACCCCATTTGTTACAAAGTAGATTCTATGTGCATTTTAACTCTCAGTTTACTAAATAAAGCTTTAGAAGATAAATTCCCATGGGTCTAGCTAATGACATGGTAAAAAGTTGAGGGTGCTAACAAATCATAGGCAAAAGAAACTAAGTTTATCATCTGGTTTGCAAAAAAAAAACAACAAAACAAAAAATCTACTGGTCCTGAACAAAGCATTGTGTGAAATTCTTTTGTAGGATTCTAAAGCTGAAAGTGGATAAAAACAAAATGGCAGCCACTTCGGGTGTAAAGAAAGCTATATTTGATCGACTGTGTAAACAGTTAGAGAAGATTGGACAGCAGATGGACAGTGAGTATTAAGTATTATTAGAGTATTAATGTCTTATTAGAAAATGTGAATTTATTGGTAAGTCATACTTTTGTATGTATGTGTGTGTGTGTGGTCTTGGGGCTTGAACTCCAGGCATAGGTGCTGTCCCTAAGATTTTTTTTTAACCAGTCCTGGAGCTTGAACTCAGGGCCTAGGCACTGTCCCTAAGCTTCTTTTTGCTCAAGGCTAGCACTCTACCACTTGAACTACAGCACCTCTTCTGGCTTTTCTTTGTTTATGTTGTATTAAGGAATTGAACCCAGGGATTCATGCATGCCAGGCAAACACTCTACTACTAAGCCACATTCCCAGCCTATCCCTAAGATTTTTGCTCAAGGCTAGTGCTCTACTACTTCCAGCCTTTTAATGGTTAATTGGAAATAAGAGTCTCATGGACTTTCCTGATTGGGGGAGCTGGCTTTGAACTTCAGTGTTCAAATCTTAGCCTCCTTAGTAGCTAGGTTTACAGGTTTGGTTTATTAGCCTAGCTACTCCGGAGGCTGAGACCTGAAGATTGAGGTTCAAAGCCAGCCCCCCACATAGGAAAGTTGGTGAGACTCTTATCTCCAATAAACTACTCAAAACTGCCAGAAGTGATGATGTGGCTTAAGTGGTAAAGGGAGGGCTTTCCTTGAACAAAAGATGCTGGCTGGGAAGGTGGCTCAGTGGTAGAGCGCTTGCCTTGCATGCCTGAGGCCCTGGGTTCAATTCCTCAGCACCACATAAGCAAAAAGAAAAGAGCCGGTGGTGGCGCTGTGGCTCAAGTGGTAGAGCGCTAGCCAAGAGCTGAGGAACAGTGCCCAGGCCTAGAGTTCAGGCCCCACAACCAGACCCCCCCCAAAAAAAAAAAAGAAAGCTGCTCAGAGACAGCACCCAGGTTCAGAGTTCAAATCCCAGGACCAGCAAAAAAAAATTAAAACGGCATAAGCAATTGACACCCAACAAAAGTATTTTCAAGCTGGAAAATGCTGCTTTAGTTAGAAAAATGCTTTCTCTTTTTTTTTCAAGTAAAGTAGTTTAATAACTTAAAATGCCTGTGGTTCCATGAGTTCATGCCCAGAAAAATGGATTCTCTGTTAATATACTCCAATATTCACATACATACATAAGCTAAATTAGAACTGATTCTAAGACTGACAAAAGAAACAGCAAGAAAAGAGAAGGGCACATTTATCTTCTCTTAGTCAGTCATTGGTCCATAACTTTTGTGATCCAAAATATGCCCAAATATTGGAATTGTGAACAGGAGAAAAAAAAATTGACAACACTTCTTTTTTTAAAGAGGCACCTGGAGACTTAGGTAGTCCACCAAGGAAGAAAAAGAAGATGGTTGAACCACCAGCTACGGGTAAGACTTATACAGATATTGAGATTAATGTAGTGTAATTAATGAATATTCCTGTATTGTTCGAGTAACTCTTCTCATCAGAACCAGATTTAGAGTAAATCCTGATCATTATTCACTTTATAAACAATTATTAATGGAAGTAACAGAACTGTGATTAAGAATATGTCCTAAAGCCAGGGGTTGGGAAGGTGGCTCACTGGTAGAGTGCTTGCCTTGCATGCATGAGGCCCTGGTTTCGATTCCTCAGCACCACATAAACAGAAAAAAGCCGGAAGTGGCGCTGTGGCTCAAGTGGTAGAACGCTAGACTTGAGCTGAAGAGTTGAGGGACAGTGCCCAGGCCCAGAGTTCAGGCCCTAGGACTGGACCCCCCCTCCCCCCCAAAAAATGTCTAAAGCCAGGTGCTGGTGGCTTACACTTGTAACCTAGCTACTCTGGAGGCTGAGATTTGAGGATCATGGTTCAAATCCAGCCCAGCAGGAAAGTCCATTAAACCTTTATCTCCAGTTAACCACTAGAAAAGTTAAAGTGGTACTGTGGCTCAAAGTGGCAGAATCCCAGCCTTGAGTGAAAAAGCTCAGGGACAGAGCCCAGGCCCTGAGTTCAAGTCCCATGACCAGAAAAAAAAAAAAAAAAAAGATGTCTGAAGCCAAACTGCCAGGGTTCAAATCATGATTTGACACTGTTAAAAGCTTCAGACAGGCTGAGTGCTGTTAGCTAATGCCTAGCTAGTCCTAGCTACTCAGAAGCTATTCTGAGGATGAAAGTTCTAAGCTAGTCCAAGCAAACACATCTTGGAGACTGATTTCCAATTGGCAAAAGCCAAATGTGGAAGTTTGTCGCAGGTGGCAGAGTATTAGCCTTGAGTGAAAAATCTTAAGGAAAAAAAAGAAAAGAATAGAAAAATCTTAAGGAGAGTTTAAGGCCCTGAATTCAAGCCCTAGTACTGGCACCAAATAAAGGCTTTAGACAAATTTAACAGAGTGTTTTGGAGCAAGGAACAACTCATAAGATCTGAGGTTCACAGTTCAAAATTAGCCTGGGTAGGTAAGTATATGAGACTCTTTATCTTCAGTTAACCACCAAAAAGCCATAAGTAGAAGTGTGGCCTTAAGTGAAAAAGCTAAAGGAAGCCCAGTGTCCCTGGCTCACACCCATAATCCTACCTACTCAGGAGGCTGAGATCTGAAGGATCATGGTTTGACGCCAACCCAGGCAGGAAAGTCTATGAGAGTCTCATCTCCAGTTAACCACCAAAAAAAATGTTGGGCTACAGCTCAAAACTCTAGAGAATTAGCCTTGAAAGAAAAAGCTCAGGCACATGCCTAAGCCCTGAGTTCAAGCTCCATGACTGACAGAAAGAAAAGAAGGAAAGCACCCAGCTCTAAATTCAATCCAGTATTTTCTCTCCCTCCCTCTCTCTGTCTTTCTCTTCGCTTCACTTCTCTTCCCTTGCCTCTCACAGTCTCACATGCATACATGCGCGTACACACAAAATTACACAGCATTCAAATTTACAGAACTCATCCCAGGAATTTTAAATGGGTGCTTTCATAGATTAAATTTGGAAATAAACCTAGCTAATATATAAACCTGGAAACAAACCTGGCTAATGTCTTGTTATTTGCCTTACTTAGGCATTCTTGCAGGTAGATCACTAATTGTAACCAGTTGGCTAGATGGCTGATTGTGACTGGCTGGTGGTTTTTATATTAGTTATTAACAAATATCTAAAATTCCAGTTTGTTTAAAAAAAAAAAAGGTCTACTTATAAAGACAGTCTCAGGCCATGGGCCTTGAACTCAGGGCCTGGGTATTGTCTCTAAGCTTTTTCTACCCTTTGAGCCACAATGCCACTTTGGATTTTCTGGTGGTTAACTGGCAACAAGAGTCATGGACTTTTCCTACCCGGGCTGGCTTCAGACTTCAATCTTCAGATCTCAACTTTCTGAGTGGCTAGGATTACAGGCATGAGCAACCAGTGCCCAACCTAAATTACTTTTTATTGATTTTAACAAGACCTAGGGGCTGGGAAGGTGGCTCAATGGTAGAATGCTTGCCTTGTATGCATGAGGCCCTGGGTTCGATTCCTCAGCACCACATAAACAGAAAAGGCTGGGAGGGGTGCTATGGTTTAAGTGGTAGATCGCTAGCCTTGAGCTGAAGAGCTGAGGGACAAGGCCCAGGCCCAGAGTTCAGGCCCCATGACTGACCAAAAAAAAAAACTCCCAGACGTTTTAGCTGGTCACTTGTGGCTCACACCTATAATCCTAGCTACTTGGGAGGCTGAGATCTGAGGATCTCAGTTCAAAGCCAGCCTGGGCAGGAAAGTCCATGAGACTCTTATCTCCACTAAACCACTAGATAACCAGAAGTGGCAATGTAACTCAAGTGATAGAGCGCTCACCTTGAGTTGAAGAACTGAGGGACGACAGCACCCAAGCTCAGAGTTCAAGCCCACAACCAGCCAAAAAAAAAATCTACTGGTTGTGTGATTTTAAGAAAGTAACGGGCTGGGAAGTTGGCTCAGTGGTAGAGTGCTTGCCTTGCATGCATGAAGCCCTGGGTTCCATTCCTCAGCACCACATAAGCAGAAAAAGTCGGAAGTGGTGCTGTGGCTCAAGTGGTAGAGTGCTAGCTCTGTGTTAAAGAGTTGAGGGACAGCACCCAGGCCCAGAATTCAGGGCCACAACCAAAAAAAAAAATTGCCAGGCGCTGGTGGCTCACGCCTGTAATCCTAGCTACTCAGGAGGCTATGATCTGAGGATCGAGGTTCAAAGCCAGCCAGGAAGGTCCATGAAATTCTTTATCTCCAATAAACCACCAGAAAACCGGAAGTGGCGTTGTAGCTCAAGTGGTAGAGCACTAGCCTTGAGCTGAAGAGCTGAGGGACAGCATTCAGGCCCAGAGTTCAAGCCCCACAACTGACAAAAACAAAAAGAAAATAACAATTTCTGTGAGCCCCAATTTGCTAATCTACAAAATGTGGTAAATGCACCACACTTCATAAGATTGTGGTGAGAGTTAAGTAAATACTGTTTAAAGTTCAGCATGAAAAAAATATACTTGGAGTATGATGGGAAGAGAAAATGAAAACCGGTATTTCTACATTTCAGTATTGTGTTCTCTCTTTACAACTGAAATTTGGGGGGGGGGTCTGGTCGTGGAGCTTGAACTCTGGGTCTGGGCGCTGTCCCTCATCTCTTCAGCTCAAGGCTGGCGCTCTACTACTTGAGCCACAGCGCCACTTCTGGCTTTTTTTTTCTTTTTGCTTATGTGGTAGTGAGGAATCGAACCCAGGGCCTCATGCATGCAAGGCAAGCGCTCTACCACTGAGCCACCTTCCCAACCCCTAAGCTTACTTTTTTTAAACTTCATTTGTAAACATAAGAATTTTGAAATTACTTTTTATAATTTTCTCATAGAAATAGAGAAGGTAGAAGACATCCAACGTAAACTACAAAAAGATGAAGATCTGACACAAGATTATGAAGAATGGAAAAGGAAAATTTTAGAAAATGCTGCCAAGGCTCAAAAGACAACAGCAGAGTGACTTCTGCTTCCAGATTGGTATCTGCTTCTGTTAGATAGTAAACCGTTCTCCAGAAAGATTTGAGGGCTTTGATGAAATTGGTTTGAACTTTCAGAACAAGGTTGCTCACCATTGCCTTAGTAGCAAAGAAACCAGAGCACAGACAAATTCTGGACAGTGGACTGGCTTTTGACATGAGAACATGTGGACTGGCTTTTGACATGAGAACATTACATCAATCACAGTGTCTTACATACTCTTGACTCCACAAGTCTATGCTGGAATTGCAAGTCATATTTTCTGTTTTAAACTAATGACAATCTGGTTTTATCCTGAATATATATTTTAGGCTGAATGGAATCTTACAGGTTTTACTTACTTTTTTTCAGTAAACTTTTTTGGTTTACCTCAATATATTGCAGTCAAAGCTAGTAATTTTTTTTAATTAAAAATGCATTTTCTGTCAGCTTCAAGGAATCGTTGGGCCAAAATCTGTGTCTTCACCAGCAGGAAAAAAAAACCAGATTTCTGTACATTGAGCTTCAATGCTCACTATATGACAATTCAAATCATACTTTCTGGGTTGAAGACCATACTCAGCCACTCACCACATGTGAAACATTGATCAAAGCAATTCACTTTATGATTCATCTGTGAAATAGTAATAATGATTATTACCTCAGTATAATTTTAAGGAGTGTAAAAGCCAATACATGAAAACCATTTCCTGTGAAAGTAAATACTGAGTAAACATTAAAGTATAGAAATGATATTTAGCCGGGCGCTGGTGGCTCACGCCTGTAATCCTTAGCTACTCAGGAGGCTGAGATCTGAGGATCGCGGTGCAAAGCCAGCCAGGGCAGGAGAGACCGTGAGACTCCTATCTCCAATAAACCACCAGAAAACCGGAAGTGGCGCTGTAGCTCAAGTGGTAGAGCGCTCGCTTTGAGCTGAAGAGCTGAGGGACAGCGCCCAGGCCCAGAGTTCAAGCCCCACGACCGACCAAAAAAAAAAAAAAAGTTAGAAATGTTATTTGTGAAATATGGCAGTAAAATCCCTTTAAACACTTTTTAACATATATAGGAATGTAAAATAAGTCTTATCTAACCCATGTGCTGGCAGCTCACCTGTAATCCTATCTACCTAGGAAAGTGAGATCTGAGGATTGCAGTTCAAAGCCAGCCCAGGCAGGAAAACTCATGAGACTCTTATCTCCAATTAACTACAAAAAAAACCAGAAATAAACATAATAATAACTACGAATATATAGTTATTTCTTTTGTTATTTTTATTTATTTATTTTGGTGAGTTGTGGGGCTTGAACTCTGGGCCTAGGTGGTGTCCCTGAGCAAATTAGCTCAAGACTAGCGCTCTACCACTTGAGCCACAATACCCGATTTTCTGGTGGTTAATTGGAGATAAGAATCTCACTGACATTCCTGCCTGGGATGGCTTTGAACCATGGTCTTTAGACCTCAGCCTCCTGAGTAGCTAGCATTATAGACATGAGCCATCAGTGCCCAACACAATATATTTTTTTAAAGAACAACAGAAGTGGAGCTGTGACTCAATAGAGCACTAGCCTTGAATGAAAAAACTAAGGGTAGTGTTGAGACCCTGAGTTCAAGCCTCAGTATTGGAACATAAAAGTCTTGTTCAGGCTGGTGGGTACTAAGTAGAAGGGGAAAGGTGAATGGAGAACATAAATATGGGCAAAATACTTTATGTCCATGTGTTAAAGTGGAACGTGAAGCTTGTTGAGATGGGTTTGGGAAGGGGAGATGAAAAAGGAGTTAATATCATATTTGGATATGTAATAATGAAACACCTTTATATGTTGATACTAATTGAGAATTTAGAGAAAAAATATATGTCCTCATATAGAATTATAATCAATGAAGCAGTTGTTAGAGGTATCAAACCAGACATCTGAACTAAAATTAAGAAGATTTATGTAGGAAATATTCCCAAACCTTAATTTGTTGAAGTCTTGGTTCCCAATGCAACAACGTTCAGAGGTGAAACTTTTGAAAAGTATTTGGGTTCTGAGGGCTCTGCAGCACAGGATTACTCTATTGATAGGTCCATAATTTGACAAGTAAAGTAAAAGAAATTTAGAAGGTGAGGTCTTGAGGGGAGGCATTCCTTGGGGGAATCACCTTGGGAATTACATCTTATCCTGTCCCCAACCAAATGAACATGAATTAAGATTGAGCCAAAATCTTCCCTCCTTCAAAATGTATTTATTCTTTTGTCACAGCACTAGAAACCTGATGTAATTCAGTGTTCTCATAATGAATTAAATGTGTCCAAATGTTTAAGATCTATTTTGAATCGCCTTAGTAATAAGTACTACAAGAAAGGTGTGATTCATCCCTATTGCATATACCTAGAATGACTAAAAGTGATTTTTTTTTTTTTGTCCTTCCACCCTTTTAATTCTAAAAGTTTCTCAGAATAAAGCTAAAGGTGTACCGCAGTGATCTCAACGTGGGCATAATACCTGAAAAGCTCTGTGTTATTGAAAAATGAAGATGAGCTTAGGAACCATACAAACTTAGACTTAAATTCTGCCACTTGTCCCCTAAGAAAAGCTTAAAGCTTTAATCAGCCTCAGTTTTCTCATTTATAAAGTAAATATCTGCCTTATAAATTTTACTACTTCTGAAGTACATTTAGAAAGCATTTGCTGGGGGCTGGAAAGGTGGCTCAGTGGTAGAGTGCTTGTCTTGCATGCATGAAGCCCTAGGTTCGATTCCTCAGCACCACATAAGCAAAAAGAAAAAAAAAGCCAGAAGTGGTGCTGTGGCTCAAGTAGTAGAGCGCTAGCCTTGAGCTGAAGAGATGAGGGACAGCGCCCAGGCCCAGAGTTCAGGCCCCACGACCAGGCCCAAAAAAATAAAATTAAATGAAAATTAAAAAATTGAAAGCATTTGCTAAATTGTAGCATTGTAGTAAATGGGGGCTGGGGAGGGAGTTCACTGGTTATGTGCCTGACTAGAATACACAAAACACTGGGTTCAATCCTCAGCACAATCAATAGGATAAGTCAGTATTTGGTTACAATTACATGGGCAAGATAATGAGTAGAAATATTTATTTTAATCTAGTGCCAAGATTTAAATTTCTAGCTTTGAGCCCAAAGCAATGTATTCATCATGGTTTTGTTTTTTTTTTTTTCTGTTTCTGTGGGTCTCATACTTGCTAGGTAGGCATTCTGGTGAGCCATATATTTAGATATTTTGTTTTGGTTATGCATTAGATAGTGTCTCACTTCCTGCCCAGGTGAATTCTTGAGCCACAATCTTCATGGCTTCCCATCATAGCTAAGATGACAGGCTCATACCATCACAACCAGCTTGTTCCATTGAAATAAAGTCTTAAGAACTTTCCTGGCTGGCTTGGGATCATGATCCTCCCATTCTCAGCCTCCCAAGTACATAAGATGACAGCACATAAGATATGTGACTCTCAACATCTGTGTGTGTGTGTGTGTGTGTGTGTGTGTGTGTGTATTGGCTTAAACTCGGGGCCTCACATTCTCGGTTTGTTTACTCACAGTAGTTCTACCACTTGAGCCATGCTGCTAGTCCAGCATTTTGCTAGTTAATTGGAGAAAGAATCTCAAAGACTTTTCTGCCCAGGATAGTGAAAGACCCTAGTCCCCTAGGATACTTTCGTCAACGGGAGGGAGCCCCAGAAACTCAGACTCCAGGCCAGGAGATGCAACAAGCAAGAGGAGTTTATTTGACGTTTCGTCAATGGGAGGGCGCCCCAGAAACTCAGACTCCAGGCCAGGAGATGCAACAAGCAAGAGCAGTTTATTGGACATTTGTGCAAACGGACTCTCTGCCTCTTGGAAGGGAGAGAGTCCTGAGCAGCGGTTACAAGCCTTTTGAAAGGCAAAAACCACAAGATTAAGGCATAACACAAAGCGTCCCATGATTGGTCCGTTTAAAGGTCACCATATATACCAACAATCACTTTGCCACGTGGGAAATTTGGTAACATTCTTTGTAAAATGATGGGCGCACTACAAAGTGGGGGGGGGGAGGGCTGGGGCTAATAATTGGTCAGGCTAGCTAGTTATTGTGCTCTAAACTAATTAGAGGGTACTTCTAAGGTAATTTAGGAGAAGTGGTTGCCAGATAGTCACTATCTCTGACCCTGACCCAGGGGAAGTAGTTGCCAAGCAGCCAGGAATGTGTCAGGTTCTTTGTCAGGTACTCCCTGCCAGAGGGTCGTTAATTTCAAGGTCCCACTGTTAGGGGAGTTCACATCCACTAGTCCTGCCAGATGGTCATTATCTCGGGGTCCCATTTGGGGAATTCCTGAACAGGGACTAAAAAGAAAACATACTTGTTTGTTCTTCATTTACAACCACAGACCTTGTCCTGGGGCCAATATCTGGACTCTGAGATTTTTACCCAATTCCTTATTTCCAGGGAGGGGGTTGGTGCTAGCGCAAGCAAGTTTACAAAAGCAAAATCAGCAGTTAGCAATTGTAAAATGTAACTCTAATTTTTAATCTTTCAATACCTTCAAATTAACTTGAAATGATGAGGCACCTAACTATACATGTTAATATTACAAAACTCCTAAAAGTAGAGATAACAAAGGGTGAGGTCCTGCGTAAGATGAGTTGGGAAAGTGACTTAGTGGTAGAGTGCTTGCCTAGCACTCATGAAACCCTGGGTTTGATTCCTCAGTACCACATAAACAGAAAAGGCCAGAAGTGGCGCTGTGGCTGAAGTGTTAGAGTTCTATCCTTGAGCAAAAGAAGCTTAGGGACAGTGCCCAGGCCCTGACCTCAAGCCCCAGGACTAGCAAAAACAAAACATAAAGATAGGATTACAGATACAAACTAACGATGCCAACTCAATCTTTTGGATGTGAACCATTCAGTACCATATATTCACATTACCTTGCAACCAATCTCCAGAACATTTTTATCTTGCAAAACTGAATAGCCATTAAATCATTCCCTAATCTTCCCTCTCCAGGGTACCTGGTAACCTAGTTCTTTTGCCTCTGAATTTGGCTGGTACACTTTTTTTTTTTTTTTGTCAGTTGTGGGGCTTGAACTCGGCTTGGGCACTGTCTCTGTGCTCTTCAGCTCAAGGCAAGCGCTCTACCGCTTTAGCCAAAGTGCCACTTCTGGTTTTCTAGTGGTTATAAATAAGAATCTCAGACATTCCTGCCTGCGCTGGCTTTCAACCATGATCCTCAGATCTCAGCCTTCTGAGTAGCTAGGATTACAGGCGTGAGCCACCAGCACCCGGCTTAACTAGTACTCTTATAAGAGGAATTATGCAGTATTCTGTGGCTGATTTATGTCACTTGGCCTAATGTTCTCAGGGTTCATTCATCTTGTAGTGTTTTCAAGGTTGAGTAACTTGGTATTGTGTATCCTGTGTCATGCCATTGACAGGACACGTGGATTGCTTCCTCTTGGCTGGTATGAATAATGCTGCTGTAAATATAGTTATACAAATATATCTTAGAGATCCTATTTTCAGTTTTTTTGGGGGGAGATCCCTAGAAGTGGGATTACTGAGTCAGTAATCTGGAGGAGTGATCCTTTTGTCCCTATTAGCCACACAATATTACATTCCCACCAGTAGTTCCCAAGATTAGTTTCTCCAAATCCTGTCCAGTTCTTTTCTTGCTTCCTTTTTCTTAGTTTAAGGTTTGGATTGTTAAAATAGTAGACATCCTAATGGATATGTGTTACCTCATGGTGGCTTTTGTTTGCATTTCCCTTATTATATCAAGCCATTTATTGGCTGTTGTATAATTCCTTTTTTATTTAATTTTTGCCTGTCCTGGGGATTGAACTCAGTGTCTGGGCTTTGTCCCTAAGCCTCTCTGTGCTCAAGACTAGTGTTCTGCCACTTGAGCCACAGTACAACTTCTGGATTTTTCTGTTTATGTGGTACTGAGGAATTGAACCCACAGCTTCGTGCATGTTAGGCAAGCTCTCTACCACTAAGCCACATTGCCATTCCTGGCAGTTGTATATTTTCTTTGCAGACATCTTTTCAAGTTCTTGTAGTTCTTTATGTGTTCTAGATATTA